AAAATAAAAACAAAAGATTTTATTTCGCGCAACAACAAAAAATAATAATTAAAGAAACCTCGCCCAGAGCGGTCCGCAGTTAAAATAAAGCGGGAGTGGGTCGTGAACAGGCAACAACGCGTGACTAGTTCTCAGCACACCGCAAACCCTTGAGCGCAAGTTACTGAGAAGCATCTGCGAAAGTGTGGGCTGCAGGGCGAAATTTGGGACAAGCAAGGTTGGAAGGCGTCCTGAGAAATTGGCTGCTTTGTTCACGTACCTCAACCCCTACCTAGACCTGAGAGGCCTTCATTCTCTTTTGCGGTGGTGCGTTATCCAGTTCTCTCTCTATTGCTTCTGGATTTGACTTAGGGCTGCTCTATCGCCATAGTAGGAAAGGCTCCCAAGGAGAGAAGTTTGTCTCCTTTCCTCAAGTGATTTCATCCGTAATGTTTTATCTCTGCCAGTCAACAGAAAATGCAATAAATTGCAGCCCCTCCCCCATATGTGATTATCATGTGTTTGAGGGGGTAACCTACCGCTCCACACCCACCACTATTTTAAACTTTGTTTTCAATTATTAGCTCAAAAACCCAAAGTCAAACCCGGACGGGGTCAGGTCACCTTGATGTTGTTATATTCCAATTATTGCTCGGGGGTGGGGTGGTGAGTGAGTATATATAAGGGCTGGGATATTTCCGAGAGTGTTTGTGATTGTACTTTCTGTCCTGGGTAGGAGAAAAGTCACTTCCTTTTCTTTAGTCAATAACTTGTCTGGATAAGCTCTAATCACGTTGACCTCCCTGTCTCTTCCTGCCGCTTCCCAGCCCTTTCCTCTTCTCATTGCTCCTTCTCATTCTCTTCTTCTTTCCCGAACTGGTAGCTGGTTTGACATCTCCTTACTCCAAGATCGAAAACAAATCTGCCCCCAAACTACTGACTCCTACACTTAGGCCAGGCTCTCACTCCCATATTTGTCCTAGTCAATTACCTTCTGAGCTGAAATGTACAGTTTCAGTCTCAGCCCCAGGGGCAGTGTTAATGTCCTAACAGTGACTGGAGTGTATCAGAAGGCATCGATTAATCAGTTCTGGGATTATCCCAGTTTTGAATTGTGTTCCTTGCCTCTTCCCTCAGCATGGCCCACAAATCTCAGTTGATTAAAAGTAACGGAGGAGGGAGATAGAGACAGAGAGAGAGGAGAAACAGAGGTCGAGCAGATAGAAAGAAAGGCAGAAAAGTCCCTTCCAGTCTGCAAAGAAAAAAAAAAGAGGCCAAAATAGGCTACACCCACAGGCACACACATTTCACTCAAATCTACACACAAATAAAAGCACCCTTTCTATTCTCATCACTGCCTAGCCCCAGTAACACACCACTCACAAAGGCATCACACAGTCATATATGCTTCATCATATTTTAGGCAGAAAATACCTACCTATCTACCTCTCAGCTCCTACTTCTCATTTATGTCTAGCAAAACTATCCCAGGTGAGAGTTTCCCGTAGTTTTTCGAATGACTGGGCATCTATGTCAGCCTAGATATATTATAGTATAATCATAAAAAGGAATGGAAAGAGTCCCTCTCTTCTTGGGCCCAGGGCCCAGAGAGTAGGGAGTGTGTGTGTGTGTGTGTGTGTGTGTGTGTGTGTGTGTGTGTGCAGACACGCATTTCCACGTGGCACAGCTCACTCAAGTATCGGAACATGTGCACAGATGATCTGCATTGTATGTATTGGATATACACACACATGCCTGTGTTGTGTTGGCCTCTGGACCAGTGTTCCAGGTAAGTGTACTTATTTATTCTTCTTGCTTATCTATTACGTTGTCTGCCTGCAACCCTGAGTGTACTGCCTTCATGTGCCTCTAATGAAATGTGGAGCAGACGCTGGTCAGAAAGCTGAACAAGATTGCACTTGAGAAAGAATTGCTTCCCGTTCCCCTCCCCCCCCCTTTCCTTTCCCTTGAACCAGAGAATCCAGACGAAGAAACTAGCTAGGTGCGGGAGTGTCTGCAGTCTAACTCATCTCCTAGGCTTTCCCCGCCCCCTTCCAGGGGCTGGGGCTTCTCGGCTCCAAGACTTGGTTGTTTTATGCACCTTCAGGGAGAGTGAAAGGGGGTTGAAATTTTCCTTCAGGGTTTGTGTGTCTAAGGTGAAGGGATGGGAGGCCAAAAACTCCTGGAGGGCCTTCCGAGGCTGAGGGAACTCGTAGGAGTCCCTAGATAGCCCTGAGAAGTTAGCTTTCACATTTCCAAGCAGTTTTGGGTAGGTCTTGATGCCTACTGTTGAATACCTAGAAGAACCGAAAAGAGGGCCAATGAAGCTAAAGAGGTCCAGTATTGCTTATGATATCTATCCATCGCAGTACTTTGGAATTAACAGGAGAGAAAAATACTGACAAAGGGAAGGATGTTGTTGACTGTAGCTTGCGCGTTCTTTGCACCTCAGCATCGGGGGGGCTCACTCCCCAAGACTCGCCGAGTGACCTTACCCAGGGCATCGCAACTCTGGGAAAGGTAGTGAGTGAGCGGCCTGAGGCCCAAGACACAAACACCTTCTCAACTGCAACTTCCACCAGCCCAGACCTCAGGCCTCCAAGCTAGCAGTCTTGGGGGAGGGGAAGGAGAAGGGGCTTCAGGAAATGGTATCTGTGCCACCCAGCACTCACACATATGGCCTGAAGCGAGGCCTAGTCGGGTCTGGTCTTCCCTTCCTGTTCAGCCTTCGGTTCCTGTAGTCTTCGATCTTCCAAATGCAGCTGCAGTCTGAGAGAAGAGGCTTCTTGCCTTCGGGTTTCCAGTTCTTCCGCAGAAATGCCTCGGTAAAAATCAGGCAGGGTCTCTTTGTAAGGCGGTCCAGCAGGCCATGATACTAGGCGACAATGCGAATTCCTTTTTTCACTGTGAAATGCTATGATCAGAGAGACTCCAGTATGCCAGTCTTTCCCCATTTGACAGACAGCCTGTCTTCACATTCCTTGTCTTTTCCTGCAGAAAACCTATTGGTCTAGGTTGGTCTGTCATTCAGTAAGTCGAGCCTATACACTTGTCCAGCTGTCTGCCTTTCTGTCTGTCTTCCTTTGAGAACTAGGCCTGACAAAGATTATGAAATCTCTCTAATAATCATCTACTGCTGTAACTTATTTGTTCCCGAGGAATCAGATTCTTACGATTCTTCCTTGTTGCTAGAGCAAGTTGAGGTTTCTCAATTCCTTGGGTCCAGTTAGCAAACGCTAATCGTTGGGGGTTTCTGGCATCATCTCTAAGGGATTCAATGTCAGTCTTTTATCTCAAACAGCAGGGCGTAAGAAGGTAAAACCAAGTTCAGGAAAGAGAAGTGGCCCTTCTCTCTCTCTCTCTCTCTCTCTCTCTCTCTCTCTCTCTCTCTCTCTTTCTCGTCGGGGGGAGTCGTTAAACTTAACTTGTTGTAACTTAAAACTGCTTTAAGAAATTAACGGAGTGTGAAGTAGGGAGGAAACTCCAAAAGGGCTTTCTCTGCTGAAGGGAAGAGAAGGGAAAGGAAAGGAAGAAAAGGAAAAGAAAGGGAAGAAAAAAGAAGCACCCTCCCTGAAGAATTTAGATCCCGTCCTGACCACCCCCCCATTTCCCTGTTCTCTCTCCAAGGAGAAGCTTCCGAGCAAAGTTCGGAGGGCTCTCTAGCTAGGCCCCCAACACATAAAGAAAAAGCGGGCTTGTGCCGTGGGTGCTGGGGGAACTGCTGCGCAGAACTCTCCAAGGGCCTCAGCTTGGTCTCTGAGGCTCTCCCCTCCCCAAAAGCCCCCAGGCCCCATTCAGAAAGCGCAAGCTGTGGGCAAGAGAACAGTCTCAAATTCGTTTTCTTCATGGTAAAAAGTGTATGGGCTTTTGTTGAGACAGGTACATTGGGTGGTAAGAAAGGGATTTTTATTAAATTTTTGAAGATTTTTAATAGTAAAGGTGTTGGGGGCAGCAAGGATTAGACCAAAAGGAGATTTAAAACAAAATAACTAATGAAATGCCGGGGCTGCCTGCTCTAAATACAGAGTTTCGCTACTTCTGTTGGGGGGGGGGCAAGTGGAGGTGTAGCTCAGTGCTCATCATTTAAAGACACTTCGCAAATCCTACAACATACTTTGACAAGGTCATTATCAACTACCTGGGAGTCATCTTAGACACTTAGCTGAATTAGAAAGAAATGGTTTTGAACTTGGGGTTTGGGGAAACTTCATTTTTCGACCCTAAGGTTGCACTAGGTTTAGGTTTCCCCTTCCCGTCTCGCCTGCCCAATTTAAGTGGGATCCGGGGTGACAAGGGTTAACGTCGAGGCTAACTAAGGAGAGATAAATAGGCCCAAGTTCTTGCCCCCTAGCCTCAGTCTCTCCCACTTTCTCATTGGACAACAGCTTTGGGGTTTCTCCTGTTCCCTCTTCCCCTATTGGTCGGGGGCTTGCTTTTTTTCTTTTCTTTTCTTTTCTCTCTC